GAAACAATTTTAATCCAATTCATATCACTTTTGTAGCAAAATATTGCTGAACACCAACAGTTTTGAAATTATTTAGTAGCTGCTTTAGTTTTTGTATTTTTTGCTTGTAAAATTCTTGAGAACGACTATGTAAAATTTAAAAGACCTGAAGTCATACCGAGCGTTCTTATCCAGCGAACGCACACAACGACACTGCAGCAAACTAGGGAGGCCGTACGGAAATTCTACAGTCCTCAAAATTTTCATTGACATTGACGCAATCTACGGAAAGAATGAAAGACGACTCTCTACTCGCAGAAGAAAACTATAATATAAGTAGAACTAGTCTTCCAGAAATCTCTTCGCCTTCTCATCAGAATACGACTTAAATTTTGATAAATAATAATAAAGAAAATATTTTGTCAACCAACGCACTTCCAATAATTCCTATAAATAGAATACGACTGAAATCTTGGTTTACTGTCAAAATTTTAATCGTATGAAAAGCCCAGCCAAAATGAAGAAAATATATAATAATTAATGCTCACCTTTTTCGGTAATTCTAGCAACTGAAACAAGCTGGGATGAAAGCGTTCAAAGTGAAGAAATCATGGGAAATGCATTTAATGTATTCAGAGACGTAATAACAAACGTAAACAATGGATATTTTAGCGATGGTCCCATTCTTTAGTTCCATAGGCCAACATTAAAGCCAATGTCTTACTTCAAACCATTCTATATTTTAGTACCTAAAAAACACTAGTGATTTAAGATGTCTTATGATGGGTATTGGCATACGTTAGAAACTGTCCACTTGTGTATTATGAATCTTGTATTATTTGAGATGTCACATGATGGGTGTAACACGTGGAAAGATGTGCTAAGGACAAGAGTCAAGACTGCCGAAAATGCACTGATTGAGGCCACGGCTGAAACACGGGAGTCGCCGAGGGGACCTCGAAATCCACACTCAAAGAAAAAAGAAAGGGAAACGGAAGAGGAAGAGGAGGTCAAAAAACACAAGAATGACCAGAAAGGCAGAAAGGAGTATGGAATGGCGTACTGTCGATAATCAGAAGGAGAAGCGAAAAAACAGAAAGAAAATGAAGTGAGCAGAAGAAAAAGGCGAAATCTAGGTCTCGTCGGGAGAGAAGTAAGGGCGATGCTCTGATTGTCGAGGTGTAGGAAGGAATGACGCACGCATCACTTCTCCGGAAATGGAGAGCTGACTCGGAGTTGAAGGAACTAGGGGAGAACGTGGTGACAACCAGACAAACCCACAATGGCGAGATGCTCTTTCTAGCTGACGAAAGATCCTTCGGTCAAGAGCTCATCGAAAAATCTCTAGGCGAGGAGGCGACGGTAAGAACTCTATCTCACGAGACAGTGGTCGAGGGCAGAAGGCTGGATGAGATCACATCAGAAACCGAGCTCAAAAGTGCGCTGAAGGTACAGTGCGATAAGGTAGATGTACTGATGACAATCTGCATGAGTAAGGCTTACGGTTGCACGCACACGGTGTCGATTGACGGCCATCGCAACAAACTGTTGGAGACAGAATAAGTCAAAGTTAGGTGATCAGTGTGCTCATTAAAAGCTGCCCCTCGGATAACCAAGTAACCAGAGAGATGCTTTAAGTGCATGGGCTTAGGTCATCAGTTAAAAAACAGCAAAGGCGGTGAGAAGCAGCTCTGCATGTAGGAGGACGGAAACGACCATTTGATGGGAGGCTTCAAATTCCCAGCATACAGAAAGGCGTTGGCGAAAGCCTACACACTTAGAACTACCTAATCTTACACGTGACGGAATCCATCTTTAACACAAAGGATGAGACGTTAACAAACATGTCATGTAAAATTAAAAGACAGAAAACTTTGTTTCTCGACGAAAAGTACGTATGATTGAGCTATATTTCGCGTCTGTTATGACTCAAATTTTTGTCACAATTGACGCTCGTATATGTCAAACTCAGAGCACCTAAATTTACATGATTTTTTCTAAGTGTGTAGTCAGTAAAGGTATGGTATTATCAAGCCAGAGACGATGGGTGCGATTTCCGATCGGGTCTGGAACAACTTTTGGGCTGGAAATGTTCTTTACTTCCCTGGGCATAGAGTATGATTGTGTTTGTCATACAATATACCACTTCATGCATTAGTTTGCATAGAAAGCTATCAATTAATAACTTTGGAAGTGCATCTAGAACACTAAATTGAGAGCCGGCAAAACGCACGCCACAGAACCGAAAAAAATATTAGAAAAGAAGATAACAAATAAACCTCAATCATTGCGACACTGTCAACAACGGAAACAAAGTGCGACGTTGTAATCATTGCAGAGCCATATTGAGTTTCTCCTAGAGCTTCCATCCCGGGATGTCCCGGGATAAAAATTCCGGGAATGTGACATTTTCCGGGATTAGAATAAATTTATGAATTGATCGAAAAACTATTGAAATGCATTGTTAAGATGGTTGGAAGTACGTAGTACTAGTCTCAACTGATGATAAAACTCAGTATTTGCAGTTTTTAGAGTCCTTCCTTAGATTAGCGAGCTGAATCTTGTAAAATGCTTACCTCTTCTGGAGGAACTTCTATGTGTCACCGTTTTCTATCCTGGCTTCTTAGCTCTCCATCGCTGTCATTTGTTACGCACAAATGTATGCATTATTATGTTTTTACAAATACTTTCATGAGACAAATCTTCCACCATAATCATCATAATCTGTACGGACTATTGTAAAATTTGGCTGACAAACATAACATCACGTCCCATTAGGGAACTTCTTAGATGTCAAGAGACAATCATTTGATTTCAGAGAACTTCATCGTGGAACTTCGTAAAACTTCAGGGACCATCATAGATCTTCAGGATACTTCGTAGAATGTTGAACAACTTCGTGGACGATGATTACGGAACATCGCATGAATTATTTGAAAGTTCAGCAAGCTGAGTAGAAATTAAATTGTACCTATCGAAAAATTAAAAGATGTAAGCTATGGAAAATCTTTGAAGTACTGGGAACTTCGAAGAAGTTGACGGAATATCCAGGATTTCGTCGAATATTCTACATATTCAGAGAACTTTATATAGGCTTTGAGTAAATCGAACTGAGTTTAAGTTCTAGAAACTTCTTGAAAATACAGGAATCTTCGTATAGCTGATATTCACGGATTTGCGATGATATCTCTCGATATTATTCAAGACTTTTCAACTTAATCAAGTAATGTTCTGAAGACTTGCAACTGTTCAAAAATTCAAACGACATCGTTTAGACATCCTTCCAAGATGGAAGTTTGATTAGAGAGTATTTAAAGGATATGCAGTTGATCCGATACATAAAGACCACTGGATATTTTTCAAGACTTCAGGTTGATCAATTATTATTCTTAAGATATTCAATTGTTAATAAAATTCAAATAACGTCTCTAGATAGTCTCTCAAGAATGCTGGTTGGTCAGATATTAGTGAATTCAGGTTGATCAGGAAATCTGAAGATCCTAAACTAGTCAAACACACAATTGGCTCAAGATGGCAGATCGGTTAGGAAGTATTTAAATATCTCCAGCTGATTGAAGATCACAATAAAGTCCTCTGGATATTTTTCAAGGCTTCAGGTTGTTCAAGTATTATTGTGAAGATATTCTCTCAAAACTGTACGTTGATCAGGAAGTATTCAAAAGATCTCCAGCTTATCTAATATTTCAGTGAAGTCCTGTGGATATTCAATTGGATCAAGTTTTATTCTGAAATATCCGATTTTTGTTACGTTATTTATATTCAACATATTCAGAAAGAAGCTTAAAATATGAAGTCAAAAACTTCATTTATTTAACAAAAATATTCATATGCCACCTTAAAATTTAAAAAAATCCATCGGAAGCCTGCTTTAGCTTCCACATGCCTTGAAGCAACTTCATCAACAAATCATGAAATGTCTTCAAAATGTTTGCATGAAAAAAATACCTTCACAGAATTTTAAATGTCTTCAAAATGAAGATATGTCTTTAAATCTGGTGTCCACTTTTTAATCTTTCTTCGAAGGAGATGTAACATACGAATATTCAAACTATTTACTATCTTTGTTCACTTCACGGGATCCCGGGATTTCCCGGGATACCAAATAAATATTTCCTGAATCCCGGGATGGTGGAAACCACCGGGGAATGGAAGCTCTAGTTCCTCCCAATAACGATAACTGGATGGCGTATAGAGCCGAATTGGCTGCAACACAACTTATTGGTAGATATCCCATACATGAAGTGATTGTGAGCTCACGCGATGATTTTGTGGTCGCCAAAAGTAACGGAATCTTCAAATGCAGTTGCTACGTATCCCAACCAAGATGGTCAATGGAGGACGATTCTTATTTTTTTAAGTACAGTCAACTTTAGTAGTACTTATTACATTTCATGCAAGAAACATCTACAGCTTGTGTGATGCTGTTACCAGGTTGTGAACATCGGCAGATTACATATAAAATAATAATCAGGTGTCAGGTTCGCAGAACCACATCAAGGCATCACTCATAACCATAATACCCGAAATCAATTATTCAAAGCGTGTTAAATTCCTGCTGACAGCTTATCATCGTCGGTCGCGTGAATTGGTTTCCGTCTGTGTGTTGTGCGGCATTACAACACCCGCATCGATCAAGTCTACGACCGACGACACCCTTAACCTTGCAGTCCGTGCTTTTGTAAGTAGTGCACCAACGAACACGCGCTACACTGTCTTCTACACATGGGTATTTGCCTGGGCCTCCCGCCAAGCTAGGCAAGGTGTCTCCACCGTCGGTCGTTGCGTTCTGGGTAGTCGTAAATAAGCAGCGAACGAAACAAAATCAACTGTTTGCAGTAAGGAAAAAATGCCACGCTGGAAACAATCTCACCACCTTCCGTCTTCCGCTATAAATCGAAGGCGAGACGCCGGTGACAGTCTGGAATGATAACGCCGTTTGGCGAATCGCGCACACCGACCGCATTTGGCGGCCGATTGTAAAACAATATAAATGCCATTAAGCTTGGCACCGAGCCGGTCATTCGAGGACTTGATGACGGCCAGCTGAGTGACGCCAGTCAGCACTTTGGGTTTTTATTGCCCGTGAAAAGTAATTATCCCGTGCTGTTTGGAGGAAAAACTGCCACGCCACACTACAGCAATGAAAGCAGTGCGAAGTTTTTCACTGGTTGTCGTCCTGACGCTTTACAGCCTGACGGATGTAAGCGGTAAGTTGCAGTATAGTTAATAACTTTCCAAGTTCTGATGTGACTGGATTTTTTTTATTCAGGTGACAAGAATTCCAAAATCGTCGGAGGGGAGAATGCACAGGAACGAATTCCGTACCAAATTTCCCTGCAGATAATGGCCAGCTCTTTTTACGGGTTCGGCCCAATGAAATGGATGCACAACTGTGGAGGTTCGGTCGTTTCAAACAACTACGTAATATCGGCCGCTCATTGCCTGGACGGACTTGCTGCTTCCCGCCTTTCGGTTGTGGCCGGAACGAATGACTTGCGAAATGATGGCAACCAAGGAACGCGGCATTTGGTCGAATGGTTCAAGATCCATCCGGACTATATTGAGTTGAATCGAAGTGACATTGGAATCATTCGGGTGAAGGAACCGTTCACATATGGTGCCAAGGTGCAACCGATCAAATATTCTCAAACGGAAGTTGGTGGTGGCGTGGAATGTTTACTGACCGGGTGGGGCTACACAATGCCCATACGGATTGGAAAGACGCCTCAGGATTTGCAACAGGCCCAGATGACGACGATCACCAACGAAGAGTGTCAAAGTCGGGGATTTCCGGTGAACCCGACGGAAATTTGTACGCTCACGAGAGTTGGGAAGGGTGCATGTGGGGTAAGTGTGATGTAAAGTGAAGGAAAGCCCAATTTTCACAACTTCACAATTTTTATCATTCACAGGGTGATTCTGGTGGTCCACTCGTATGTAACAACGAACTAGCTGGTGTAGTATCGTATGGAACACGGTTCTGTGGTATCGGATCCCCGGATGTGTTTACCCGTGTTTCCGAATTCAAATCTTGGATAGATGCAAATCAGGTATAAATTGTTTCTTATCCACAAAGAAGGCTTGATGATTGTTCCTGTTTAGTGTTAATAAAACTATGAATATATCTTGTTGACGTACTATTTAACTTAACCATAATGCAGTGCATGTCATTCTTTAATGCGATGTTAACTTAGTTTGTATTAGAAAAACAAATTTCTCTTGTAAGGTTGGATTTATTACATCCTCTGCATTGGGGCCTCCCTTAGCTCAGTCGGCAAAGGCGCAGCTACAAAGCAAGACCATGCTGGAGGTGGCAGGGTTCAATTCCTGGTCCGGTCTAGGAATTTTTCGGGTTGGAAAATTTCTCGACTTCCCTGGGCATTAGAGTGATGCAAAATTTGAAATTTTCGCTCCACAATACTTAAACGATTCCAAATCGGATCCTGACTAACCTCTCAAAATTTGAACCCATTTGATGAGAAACTGAGATGGCACAAACCATTTGAAGTTTGTATGGGAATTACTATGGTAAAACCAAGATTTTTGTTCATGTCTATCTAATAATTCACCAAATCGATCTGCTTCAAATTTTTTCAACTGTACTTGTAGGAAATTTTCCCAGCGACATCATTGCTGAAAATCACTTTTTGATTAAATGCAAGGATCGAAAGTTATCAATGGTTCAATGCGCTAATGTCTTATGATCATGCTCAATCAACTGCTCAGCAGACAACATTGGTGTTTCTGGGGCGTTGAATAGGACACAAAAGTCTTGGCTACTATGTCTTACTGCAAAATACAGTGTTGCCTACAGAGCAGCTGCTTGATCATGTCATAAGTTTACCAATCTCTTAAATAATTAATAACTTTTTCCTGTCTCGTTTTACATAGAAACGATCTTGTGCAAAGTTGTAGCTGAGAAAATTTTCTATAAGAATTGCTATCGAACTGTTTTGCAGCTCAATATGGAAAAAGACTAGAAGGCAATGAACAAAAAGTTGAGATTTCCCATAGTAATTTACATGTAAACTTCAAATGGCTTGTGCGAAGTCTGTTTCTAACCAAATGAGTTGTAATTTTGGGAGGCTAATCAGGACCCGATTTGAAACCATTTAAGCACTGTGGAGCTAAAAAGTCAAATTTTGCATCAGTCTACTGGGCATAGAAGTATGATTGGACTTGCCACACAATTATACCAATGCAGAAATGGTACAGGCATCGAAAGCTCTCAATTAATAACTGTGGAAGTGCATCTAGAACACTAAGTTGAGAGCACGCAATAAGCTAATATGCGATATGCAATAAGCTTGAAATGCGAAGAAGAAGAAGAAGCATTAGGGTCGTGCAGTTTGCGGCGTCACCCATCATTCAGGCGTATTGTGTGTGCCACGAAGTGGTTCGATTCCTGCTCCTGCCGGTGGAACTTTTCGGAAATTTCCCTACTGGTCTACTGGGTGTTGCGTCTTGTCCGTTGTCTAGTTTTCAGTGTTCAGTTTGTACATCCTCTGGTTGAAGGCTATATTTCATACAAAAAATGTAATGCCAGTTCTTTCAATGGACTGCAGCTTACATGCATGTTTTTTTTCCAGAATGCATATTTTTCTTGAACTCCTTCACGAGATTATTTTCTAGACGCAATGCATTTGGGGAAACAAACTAGCGCTGAGAGTATGACAAGTGCATGAGCACCTACACGGTACAGAGAAGGAGAGGGATATAACGTCGAAATTATCAACGAGGAACTCGTAGCAGTGGCGGAAGGATTGAAGGTGAAGAAAGCTCCCGGTCCGGATGGAATCCCCAACGTAGCGTTGAAAGCGGCGATCCAGGCGTCCGCGGACATGTTCAGGATGGTGCTGCATAAATGCCTGGACGAGAGTCACTTCCCTCAGACTTTAGCGAAGCATTTAATCGTATCGGCACTTATTGCTCCCTTTTCAATCATACATGAAGAATGAATAGAGTCAGTACAAAAGCAATTTTTATTATATGTACTCCGCAAGTTAGGTTAGACTGTATTTTTTTAACCATTTTATATAGTTCTATATATGCTCATCAACATCTAAATATTAAAAGAGCGTCATGAATTTGAAATGGTTTCATTCATTGTCTCACAGAAAATTGATTGAATGGAACTCTTATCAAAATTGAAATGTAAACCTTCACGAAATTTACGACATAAACATTCAGAAATTCCATAAAAAAAGTTATAGTGAGTCTCAGAATATCGTGAAAATTAGTATAGTTCATCCTTATCAAAAAATATTTGACTCGTTTTTTTTTATTCCGCCATTAGGGTGACCATTTCCGTGTTAGGGTGGACCGATTTTTTTTTTCAATAATGCATTTTTTCATAAATTTATAACTTCTGAACCATTGAACCGATTTTTGCGGTTGACCGGTTGAAATATTTGATTTTGCATGAAAAAATACGATTTTTCATGATTTTCACAACATCAACATCTTATGTTAATATTTTTAATTGAAAGATCATATAATTTGACATAACAAAATAAAAAATTAGCGATGTTGAAGGAGTTTTTTTTTTTGAGATAAAAAAGGCATGTTTGAAAAAGAAAAAAACATAGAATTATCGAAATTGTGATACTATTGACTGAACACTGACCAAAACCAAACTTAAAGAATATTTCCGCGATAACCGAGAGAAGCATTCATTTAAAACTATGTATATGTTCATACATATTGTACTAAAAAAAGCTGGATGCATTTAAATAAACTAGTATTTAAGATAACAAAAACGGTCTACAAACATGATTGACGACAAATAAATAAATAGTAAACAAATACCGTACTTTAAAACCGATAAAATCGTTGTCCAGTACAACGTTAGAAGATCTTTCGGATGTGCTCCCCACTAAGCTAGTTAAAGCCGAAGCCATCTCGAACCCCAACCTTTGCAGCCACCCAACCAATGAAGACCAAATAAATCATCTACAGCAACAGCAACAACAACTAGCTAGATCGCTCGCCACGAGAACGCGAACACGAACAGCAGCAGCATTAACCGACCCAGAGCACCAAAATTGAATCCACACCAACGGCAGTAGACTGACCCAGCGCACCATCATCATCATCATCATCATCATCATCCACCTCCCGGCAACATTGTACTCGCACCACCCATCGACGCGATTGCACCGAGACTGTCGATGGCACCTAGAATGCCGACTCAGCAGCATACGCGACAACGACCCTTCAACGACGACGACGATAGCAACAAGAATGTTAGGATAAGTTAAACATATCAAGAAATAAAATTAATTCTGTTTCGATCTCGAACGAGTCAAGTCGTTATTTCAAAGTTTCCGAAGTTCTTAATTAGCTTATTATCACTATTTGATCTACAATTTTTTTTTACCATTGGTCCATTTTCCGTTTCCGTTATTGATCCAAATTATACCAGTTGTTCGAGTTTTTCAAACAAACAAACTTTTGTTCAATTAATTGATGGCGCGTTAGTTAGAACAGCTGTAGATTCAGCTAAATTCCCGGCCGCGAATGGAAAATCCACGCCTCTCTAAGCAAGATTCCAAACAGACTTTTCAAATATTCCCTCCAGCACTTAAATTTGGCAAGGTCATCGTTATTATTGATATTGTCTAATACGTTAATCATTAAAGTATCATGGCCTGTTATTTTCAAATCACTATGCGTTACTGAAAAAATTGCTTCCAAATTGAAAAAAAGGGTCAATTAAAGTTCTTAGCGGCGCCGGTGGTGTAGTGGTTAGCGTAATTACCTCTCACCCAAGCAGGCATGACTTCAATCCCAGTTGGCGCCGCCGGGATGTTCTGAGGCATGAAATCTCTGATCACGCCTTAACGGGAAGTAAAGCCGTTGGTCTCCGGTTCATGAGTTGATGGGTCGATAGAGCTGCCTCCCTGGCGTCAGTAGCATTGGTGCTGAGCACGGAAATCTAGATCTACGGAAAAAAAATCGAGGAAAAATAATTAAAGTTCTACTGTGCCTGAAAATAAAGAAAGTGGATGCACTTCAATCTTGTCAAAAATATGGTATTATATTTCTTGCCAAAAAGGAAAAAATATCATTAACACAGTGCATGAACACAGTGCATAAGCTGCTTTTAATGCATTTGTTTATTTTTGTGGCCATAAAATTTATTCGAGATTTTCAACATGTGCATCCTCTTGGATGTAGTATTAAAATTTATTTTTTGTTGCGTACCGTTTGTTTTCAATTGAAAAATCAGCTAAACGCTTAAAATGATTCGAATAATAGTTGTCCCGCCAATTAATATTAAATTCACCAGTCAATATATTTTTTTACTAGAATCAAGAAATGTCTCGAGCCAGTTCTCTATAACTTCAACAATACGCTGGTCACTAGAACTGGGAGAATAATATGAAACACCATAATTACCCATCTTCATGCCACGTACAACTGTAATTATTGATTGATTTATCTTTATTAGGGAGGCTTTCAGCCTGGGGCTGGTTCGCCTGCAAGCACAACTGTAATGCCCAAGAGCCAGTTGTCATCAATTATTGTCTTTGCGTACGATGGTTGAATTGAACTAATTCTTTTGCATAAATAGCAACACCACCAGTGTATCTAGAATGCCATAAACAAGTATCAACATTATATCATGGAATACTGTATTGATCATATGCTTAAATTTCAACAATATCAGTTACAATATTAAAACAAAAAGTGCACGACTTTCCTCAACAATTTGACGTAATTATACGTAGTTTGTTGACAACTCCATAATATTTAAATACAAAAAATCAAATTGATTCACATTCACATGGAACTTGACTGCGATTTATTGAAACGCAAGCTGCTTTTCTTCTGTTCAAAAATTCTCTTATAAACCAAATATTCAGAGCTAAATGCGGTATGGTTGACGTCCAGGATAATTTTCAAACAATTAACAAATTTCAATACAATTGACGCATACTCCAATGTATTGTGTTATTAGCTGCGCTCACAATGTTCGCAATCCATGCTCTTGTGCTCAAATTCTCCACATTAGTGCATTTTCAAAAATGTTAACTACTTCTACATCATTTATAGCGATGTCTTCATTTTGGCTTTTTATGCAGTCAATGAAGACATCGGAGGAATACTCATGCCCATTGCTTTATATATTGTTACCGAAATGGGAA